GTTGTCAGCAGTGAAATAGGTCTGTAGTTAGAGATGCAGGATTTTTCACCCTTTTTATATAGTGGTTTTACTTTTGAATATTTAAGTCTTTCAGGAAACATTCCTACAGCCATTGAATGATTACAGAGATAACTTAATGGAATACTTATATAATCTACGCAAGATTTAAGTACTTTAGATGAAATTCCATCATAACCACATGAATTTTTTGACTTCACAGAAGTTATTATACTTTTAATTTCATTTGGTGTGGTAGGAATAAGATTAATATTTGGAAATGAATTAGGTATTGCCTTAGCCAAGAACTTCATTGCATCTTCGGTTTTTGGAGTGATGGTATCACTGCTGTTCATTCTTTCTACAATCGTTAAAAAGTAGGTATTAAAATAGTTAGCTATAAGTTTAGGATCATTTACTCCGTTATTATTTATCATTAATGGTAGGCTTTCAATGTCTGTAGACTGTTTGCCAGTTTCCTTTTTGACAATTTTCCAAACAGTTTTTACTTTATTTTCAGACTCTACTATCAATTTATTGTAATGCATGCGTTTAGCTTCTTTAATGACTTGAATCCTCTATTGTCCTTACAACACTATAGACTGAAGAGATTACAAAGTATTCTGAAAAAATTACTTACTGCTGCGATAAGGTGACATGAGACAGAAAATTCTAAACTGATTTGCAGAGAATGATTCAAGGAAATCATGAATACCAACAGTATTCTTTAAGGATTTAGACATTTTTTCTTCTCCTTTTACATGTAGATGACCTGTAAGAAAGAAACTATTAATAACTAGATGTACAAAGTGTTTTGTGTAACTGATTTTGAATGAGATGTGAGCAAATGTTTAATGCTTTCAAATATACATTTTAACAGAAAGCAGATTTTAACCCTTTGAAGACAACGCTCACATAAAGAATATTTAAGAATTCAGTCCATATCTCAAACAAAACAACAATTCTTTAAGCTCAATTAGTTAATGCTATTTATGAAAATAATCTCTATCTACATATAAAACTCATAAATATAAAATGAAGAGTTATTGATTGTTTAAGCAAGTGGTACATTCTGCGAACCAAAAATTAGGTGATTAAAATGTTCTAAGTCTAGAACCAGAAGTTACAAGTGGTTAGTGTGGGAGGCTAGCATTAATGCAAAGGACAAATGAACCAGTTTGAGTCCAGACAGCCGTGCATTTTTTATTTCTGGTGTATATTCTGTATTTGCACAAATACTAATTTAAACTGTGCAGTTATTCAACTAAATGATTCAAAATTTCTGGGTGGAACTCATACCTAGAGTAACTGGAAATGGGTACCAAAATATGTAAATTGTAATATTTAAAGAAGAATATGTAATTGTTGTTTGTCTATAAAGCATATGCAATCCAGTAACCCTTTGTTAACAACTTTATAATTTGTTGTTCATTGGCATTCTGACTTAAAGGCTTTGGAAGCATTAATTTTGTAAGTATACCAATTACTTACACAGAATGTCATATAAATGACTGATAAAAACAGTTTGACTTTTAGGTGTATAGAATATTTCAGCAATAATAACTACATGACTTTTGCACACCATAATCTCACCAGAATGCAGCCAGTAGTTCACCCATTGATCCACTCCATGATAAACACAACTCTGAGCTTCTTCATTCTCATGATGAGGAAACAACAAATCCACACCACCAGAATGAATGTCAATATTTGATCCAAGAATGGCACTAAAAATATATATCACAATAGTTATGTTAACACTAGAACAGTAAGAATATCGGAAAAAGTAGTCCTTGGTATTAACTACTAAAGAAGCTGCATTTAGATGTTGAACCATTGGCATTACTGCCAAGTTTATAGCACTGACTATGACTTTAGATGGCACCGGTGATAAAATGTTTCATCTGTTTCAATATATGGAGCCACTTGATGACTTAATAGTTCCCCAAATTAATCTTTCTTGTGTAAGATACGTTTTGTTGTTACTTTATGTTTACACAGCAAATACCAAAAAGTATTATTACCCAAAGAAAGAATAGCACAGGCAAATATATTATATTTTTTCTTTAGTACTACTTATTATCAATTCTTTTGCCCATAAAGTACTTAAGATCAGGTTTAAGATGCTATCTCAGAATGTAAACGAGTGTCAATAACGTCAGTATCAGAAATCCATTCATGAGGGATGTTCCAGAAGTAAGGTACACAAAGACACTATACCACAGAATTTATTACCACAGTGCTTGCACACATATAGCCATATTATTATTTTTCTATGTAATTACCTTCCCTGTTGAGGAATTTTTCCCAATGGGGAACCAGTGACTGAAGCCTTTGCAAATAAATTCTGGTCAAACGGCCTTTAACAGCATGTCACCATCACAATAACATAATCATTCATAAACCATTGCCCTGATGAATGCCACCTAAGGAGCCTGAAGAGATGAAAATCTGAAGGACAGGAACTGTGTGCTAAATGCTGCAGCACCTCTCATCTACACTTCTGGAACCACTTTCATGTCTGCCAGGCTGTGTATACTGCTGCATTGTTGTGAAGCATAATAAGACCATCTTGTCCTTTTCCTGGTCTGTCTTAAATGAACTTGTGTTGGTGTGTTGCACCTTGCAATGGTAAGTATTTCAGCAGTGGCATGAAGGGAATATAAATGATACATGTTTAATAACATAAAAGTTTGAAATGTATATTCATAAGCACCTTGCCATAGCAGAGCATTCTATATGCCATCCTGGTCGCCCCTTTCCAGGTCCCCAAGGATTCGGCCACCATGGTTCCCCAGGTTTGGATCCTTTCCAAAGGGCAAAGTCGATTGCAGATCTCTTATCTGTTGCAGATGAATTTTCATTTGGAATGTTAGGAAAAAGTTTGCCATACTGAGAATAATGCTTTGTGTCGAAATAAACAGAACCTGTGAAGAATAACGTCAGTGTTCAGCTATAGTCTTAGAAAGAAAGTAATTCAGGGTGATGATGGCGATATTAAGCATCTCTGAAATGCTGGTCAGTTTCTACCAGACTACATGTGCCACAACCCAGAAGATGCCATCTTCAGCAGTAATTTATTTTTGTGTTTGATGCAATGTATTGACAGAAGAGATCTAGCTTTTATTTCATCAATGAAGAGCCATCATCATTCCTAATGAGACAGACTAAGTACATAAAAAAAGAAGGAGAGACAGCACAGTAATATTTTATCCAAATACTTTTAAAAAACTTTTGTAGATCCATCCTCCTATTTCTAAGTTCAGTAGTCACTGTTTACAACATGTACACAAGGAAATGATCACATAAAATACCATGTATACAATTTTACATTATATTCAGAAGGAAGATATCACAAAATGACATAACATTTAAATATATGTATTTATGAGTATAAGTATCAATATGAACATCAAATGTTACTGACTCATTTAAGTAGTTATGAGGTTTAGTTTTCAGAACCTATGGGAAAGCTACATAGAATTCAAATCACATTCACCCATTTTTCACTTTAGATAGAGTTACTGAGGAACAGCATAAAGTAGAACCTACCATCTTCTGTAGTGTACGCCTGTCCTTTATCAATTATTTTCTGTACAAAGTTGATGATTTGTGGAATGAAATTTGTTACTTTGGTGACAACTGTTGGTGGCATGATATTTAAACTAGCCATGTCCCCAAAAAATTCCATTTCATAGTGGTCAGCTAATCTTCTTGGATCTTCTTTACGTTCATCTGCACGTTTGATAATTTTGTCATCAATATCTGTGACGCCCATCATCATGACAACATTGATATTAAAATAATTCAAGAGAATCCTGCGTATTGTGTCAAACTTCACATAGCAGCTAAAGAAAAAAGAGAAAGTTACATTGATTCTAACCAGATCTTGTAACCTGTAATGCAGTAATCAGAAAGATCATAATATGACACATCTACTTAACACCATAGAGCAGGGTTTTTCTTGTGAAGTTGATGGTTGTTCAATTGGCCAAAAAACTTACTTCCTTCCTCCCCAAAGATTCATTATTTGATCCTATCCAGTTAGAAAAATGAAGTGAAGAGTGAATTATATTAAATTTATTTTTATAGTTACAGTCCACTACATTGTTTTAATATTTTGTTAATGTAAATAATATCTTAATTGCACTAGCTTCTACATACCAAGCATGACCAAGGTGTGCTGAATCGTAAACAGTAGGACCACACATATACCATGACAAGAAGTTCGGATTTTTCAATACTAATGGCACTTTTGAATTAGTTATACAGTTGAAAACTGATATTTTTGTCTCATGACCTCTAGGAAGGACCCATTTATGTTTCTTGAATGCAGTCTTGCATGTTGATGCTGTATGTTGCTTTCTTAACCAAATACAAATTACTTGCTTTATTTTCAACAAACTCATTATGAAACTTCGTGGTTATTATAAAAAAATCTTGTTCCAAGACTGGGCAATTAAAACGAAGTATGGTGCAGTATTGAGGTTATAAATACCGTTCTCAGTTCTGACACAAAACACTTAAAATATAGCAGATTGTCCCAATGTAACACACAGAATAACTTTATCTTACACGTATTATTGATAAACAAATTATATTATCAAATGTGACTTCAATAACTCGCATAATCACTACACAATACGATTCGAAGTTTACACAAATTGTAAGAGCCGCCATTACAAATTAAACCTGTCGTCGGGTTAGCCAAGTATTGAATATGATATTGACAACATATGACGTAATTCCATCTATTCATGATCTATATTATGATATTTATGGTATGAATTATATATCTGTAGTGCTTATGTCGTCTATAACAATGTGTTTTACTTTCCCGTAATAGACCACAAAAATATATATTACATGAGTGGAATTCAAAGAAACGTCCAAATTATTAACAAGTATTGGCTAAACTGACCAAGCGAGCATATGTTACATGTAAATAAAATAGTTTTAGTGGACGTTTTCATTCAAAGATTCTAATGTGAAAGAATTTCAGAAATGTAAGTGTGAAGAGCAAATACTTGTGCCTTATTTTCTTACTGTTTCAACGTTTTTGATTTTAAGAAAAGTGATGAAACTTTTTATGGCCGCAGTGTGGTGGAGAGGGGGGGAGCACTAACTAACCTGATAATAGAAGCTGAATACATCCGCCGATTAATGAAACTTTTTATGGCCGCAGTGTGGAGGAGAGGGGGGGAGGACTAACTAACCTGTTAATAGAAGCTGAATACATCCGCCGATTTTCAAGATTTTCTCCACTAATATTCTGTTCATATTTCTAGTTTCATTCATAAGAGTTACGTATCCATTCAACACTTGTCATTAAACTATTAAAACATTGCTTCAATATACCATTTAGGCAAAAATGGCATGGTTTTAAATCCGGCAACTGCAGAGTTCATAATCTTTGACGTATCACTTATATTTTTTATTTATGTTGATATGTAGATCCAAGATATTTTCCGCAAAACCTCTGGTGACATTTCTTCTATGAGATATCCTGTACATAAATATTATATAAGAAAATAATTTTTGCTCCATACTTTGACCACCACACAAGGGCACTAGTTTGAAAACAGTTTAACCAGATAGCAGAATGCAACTGCTGTATCTATATAGCAATTCAGTGTCTCTATAATGAAGTTACTAATGATATATGCCAGCATGTTGGGGACTGAAAATGTGATGGTTGTGTTACACAGTCTGATACTGTGATGTTTTCTTTCACCTAATTAAATAAATACATTGTATTGTGGTGTTTAAGCTATTATAAAATGTAAGGTTTATTTTCAGTACTCTCTTCAGGATGATGCGATATGAAGGTGAAAATGCTCACCTAGTTGATCAAAGCCCATGTGCAGGTATAAGGGCAGATTTAAAAATGTGTCTTCTGGAAAGTGACTGTGTAAAAAAGGTAATTTATTTTCTGTTTGTTAATAGTTACGTTGACAGTTGTAAGAATGTAAATAATATACCCATTTATCAAATTATAAACCCACATGTTTATTAATTTTTCAGGTGAAAGCCTAAAATTCTAATTTCTTTTGTGAAAATTATGTACCTCCTTATGAAATGGTCTTCAAACTTTGTACCATCTTGCTCTTTGATTTAAAGTCATCTGTAAGACAGATTCCTGTGTAACAAGATACCAACATTGTACAGTGTGATATAATGACATATTTGGGTTTTGGTATAGTCCAAAATTGTTCACATAGGCTTCATTCCTGGTCTTTGCACATTCGAAGAGTATTTCTTCTTTCTACTCTCATATTACTTCAGAAGCACAGAACATGCATCACCTCACAGTTACTTTAGTTATAGTGTTATAAACCAAGGCACCCATTGAGCAAATACTTTTCAGAAGTGGAACTGTTTGTGACTTAATGGTGTATGTAGTACTGAGTTATTTATTATTTTAGCAACCTCTCCCCTCCCCCAGTGCAGTCATTGGTCTGTGGTTACAGCATTCCATTGTCCTTTCTGTCCTGCTGTGTGTTATGTAGATATGATGTGACTGAATGTATTTAATCTATTTACAGCAGAAGAAAACTCCCCGTGAATGTCTACAATCATTTGATGCTTCTGTTCCCAATGAATGCTATGCTCTTCGCACAACATTTTTTGAGTGCAAGAGATCACTGGTAAGTTAATTATCCCTATGGAAAATTATAATTATTTACTGTCTTACAAATACATTCCAAAACAAGGACAGGTTTAATTAACTTCCAAAGACAAAGAATGCTGTTCACTTCTATAAGACACTTCTCACATCAGATCATTCTGCATAATAGTGTGGACAGTCATCAGCGTTTTCAAGTACCTTCTTTTATTGTAAGTTGTATAGTGTGTGAAATCTGTTTTCTTTTGAATTTCAGTTGGACAACAGAACTAGATTCCGTGGAAGAAAAGGATATTAAATGCCATATTTAATTCTGGATAGGTGGTAACACTTTTATAAAGAAGAAACTCATGTTTACAAACATGTGAACCAACTAAATTTGTTGTGTCACATGATGTTTATTGTAATGGTTTTGGATAATTTTTAAAATTAAAATATAAGACTTTTAACATGATACAGAAAGTGGATTAAGAATAACTTGTCATAGTTATCTTTTTATAGAATTCTGTTCTGTAGTTATTTAAATTGTACTGCTATGAAAGAAAATCTGTATATACACTAAACCCATTGCTACATATGTATCAAACTTCATGACTGTAAAATTTGTATTTTAGAAATATGTACCTTAATATGACAAAATAAACATTTTGGGTATAGGGCTTGCCATCTCTCCTTGATGGTTTAGTTGCATGCTGCTGTGATGCACAGCCAAGCTGAACCATGTGTGAGCTCTCAGCACATTGATGATTGAGGTTAATGGTCTGCATCTACTCAACTAAACCATTTACTCAGAGCAGAAGCAGAATATCTATCTTACCACTTTGCTTCAAACTTTGACAGTCTATATTCCAATACTGTGTCAAATATGACACTCATTTTTACTTTGACAGTCTATATTCCAACACTGTGTCAAATATGACACTCATTTTTATTTAGTTACCCATTTAAAATTAAGCCTCTGGATTATCACATGCAAATATACTTGATATATTGCTTACTGTGTAGTAGGACCTCATCCCAAAGCAGTCTTCTAATATAGCCTCAGACTGCAATGTGTTGTTGGGTCCCAGTAAGTGTTATGTGCCATAAAGAATATCATGATGATGAAGGAACTTGATTTAAGGAAATAATAGGAAATGCAGGAAAAACAACCATTTTGTTGTAAATTTTGTAACATTTATTTATATTATCAGAGAAAAGAATCATCTTTCATAAGATCTCATTTGAGAAAACACTGTTACAATATAAGGTTTTATCCAAGTTTCGTGAAATGTGTTTGTTTAAAAGTGTGTATAATAAAATTGCTACAGCGATGACATGGATTCAAGCCAAAAGTTTCATAACAATTCACTTAATAAATTGGCACTCAAGTTTGCAGGAGAATTAAATCACCTGTGGATGAGCATATTTTTGGTGAATAACTCCTGATGACAGATGAAAAGTGATGATGAGAAGTCTGTGATGTAACAGTAGGCAAATGATAGGTAAAACTGGAAAGATTTAAAGTCTTCTGAAAATGAACTTCACCACTTGTAGTTTTGTAGAATTAAACAGTTTGACTGCAGACAGATTAATTGTATTTGAAGATGGCTGTCTTCTGGGTTGTAGCACCATGTAGTCTGGCAGAAGTTTACCAGTGTTTCAGAGGTAACTGCTGCCCAGAAGAGAGCCATCTTCATATTTGTGACATCTTCAAATCCTACTTAATCATGTCTGTTTAATGTGCCTCTTTCAACAATATTAATTACATATTTAGCTTTCCTTCAGGAACATCAGTGAAGAATTTTTACAGCTATGTATACTCATTATTACAGCTGCATACTACAATATGTGAGGTCATTAAGTTCTACAATTTGCTTCAAGCTCATGTTGGAATGTTGTGTACTTACTGACTTGGCTGTAATGAGAGTTTCATAATAGTACAAAGTCTCATGCAGATGTAAATTATTTGTATAAAGAATGTTTTAATAAAGTGTAAAGTTTCTATACAGCACTAGCCACTGCTTTCAATACTTCAAAATTCAAGATAATTTGAAATCACAGTTATGTGTGTAAAGTTATATGATTAGAAACCAAACTGGTATATACATAGTAAAGTCAAAAAGTATGTGACTACTTCTTGTATAAGTTTTCATGTGATCATGGCAGGTTTTACTCACACTGCCTTTGAAGTAGTTTCCTTCAACCACTGGCTATACCACTGATGGAAGCACCCCTGTGGGCTTTTTAATGTGATTCCCTGAAGTGCCACTATCATAGGCTTTTTCGCCTCTTCTGATGACTGGAACCTGCATCCCTTAACGATGGTTTTAATTTTTGGCGACAGTTGTTCATGAGCATGGACTAGAGCTTGAGTGCTGGGAGGTTGAGAAGCACATTATTCGTATGGAAGTCAACCCTCACCACCCTAGAAGCAGATGTTTCATATAGACCACTCAGACGAGAAGGTGATGCTGTTGGTGTTCTATAATAGACAGGATGTACACAAGTTCATTCCAGAAGACCGTAACATCAACAAAACCCTGTACAGACAATCTTTTCTATAAGCAAGTAACTATCATAAACACACTTATCTTTGTGAATATGTAAACTGCTTGATTACCTTAAAGTACCAGCTTACTAACCTCTTTTGGTGCTAGAGTAATCTGATCAAGAATGGTATTATTGTGTTTCCACAACCTCCCTTCTCTCCAGTGTAAACCCTGCTGATTATAAACTGTTTACCAGAATGAAAACCATCTTGAAAGAACACAGGTTCCAGTCAAGAGAAGAGAGGAAAGAGGCTATGAAGGCAGAAGTTGATGAGTTCTCGGGGAAAAACCTGCAGGAGTGCCTCCAGCAGTGGTATGGCTACTGGCAGAAATGTATAAGAGTAAAAGGGAACTACTTCAGGGGTGATGTACATAAAGACCTTCCATTACAACAGGAAAGTTCACAAACTATTTTGACTTTAGTATATAGAAACAAGTTGAACATATGATAAGAACCTCCCCTTTCAAACAATAATTTACATTCAGAGGAGTTAATTACAGGATGACATTATTTAATGTGGCAATTGGTTGTGGCTAAATCAACACAAGTTATGTAGGTTAAAATATTTTTCTTTGAAATAAATATATAGTACCTACAGTGGGTATTGAGAGCTTAGGTGTGCTATAAATTTATGAGAAAGTGAACGTTGTTCTAAAGTCTGTCTTCTGATAAATGGCTCTCATATTTAAGTTGTTATCTACTGTCCACAGACCAGGAGAAAAGCCCTGCGGGGGGAAGTCGTTTCTGGGGCAGTGCAGGGGGAATATTTACTATCAAGTGGACTAGAGGGCTGCTATTGGTGGGAAGTGTGATACGTCAGAGTTTTACACTACTACACACAGACTGAAAACATCAGGCAGTTAAGAGTAGCATGTAGTGAGTGCACTTGTACTGAGTTCTGTGGATGTTGTGATAATATTCTAGATTAAATCACTGTGCCTCTGTGAGGTAATCTTAAAGCTGTACCCATTAGAACACATGAAAGATTGTTGTCTGTTGTTCGTTCAGTGGTTGTGGAACGAATGCTTTTAGGATGGGTTGTCACTCACCGCGAAATGCTGCGCATGTGCATATATCGAATTCCTAGCAGGGATTTTCTCTAGGTCTGTGGACTGTACCTTTAAAGAGATTAAGATTTTATTTCAGGAATTAACATGGCTCTTGGAATGACAAATGATTTTCCACTAACAGAATTAGAACTGATATGAGAATTACATGAATTAACGTGTCATAAACTAATAACAGGCTTGGTTCATGACACAGTGGAAGATCAAAGAGACACTTGTGCGCCTTGACCCATTGCTATTTTACAGCGAGTCTTGCTCCTTGGGCCATTCAAGCATAATATCAAGAACTCATAATAATGTGATTCTTAAAGTAGAATACAAATGGCTAGGTCTCTGCATCGTAAATAGTTTCATTGTAAAGAATGAATGCTGATTTTAATTGGATTTCATAACAAATTAAAACAGATAATGTAAGATTTATAATTTCATTGTGTATCATGCTTATCTATTGTTCAGAGATCAAATAAACATTTTCTATAACTTCTTTCACCCAAGAAAATTGTTATTATGTGAAGTGTAGTCACACATAAACAACGCAATTATAATTTAGACAGTTTATATTTTTGTATTAAGTTTGTTAATTTGAGATGCATTCATATACTTTCTAGTAAGTAATAGATTATAAATTAGAAATCATCTTCCAGGTAAATGTATTCAGGTTTAGGTTTCATTAAATCTTTCCCAAACTTTTCAGTACATAACTTGCATTTCCTATATCACAATTCAGAACCTAGACTTGTCTTAGTGCCAGGGAAAGCATAACATTACAGCAATGGAGAGAATTCAATGTAGTGTGGATTTTCTTCTTCTTAATTTTATAATTATTTTGTAATGAACTATGAACTTCACTGATGATATGATCCTAAGAAATTTGTCATTTTACTGCTCTAGAGTGTGTCTGTATTTCCAAACTATATTTAATTAATTTTGTTTTGAAACCTAACATTTTTTTAGATGTGAGATAAAGCCTATAAATATTATTACTGCTGAAGAAATAATTTCTCTGTCAACTTATGTTATTAAACTACTAGAAACATTTTGTTATCATAAAACTGTTCAAAACATGAATTAATACTAGGCAAGCTTTGTTATTGATGTAAGATTTGAGGTTTTCACAGCGGTGAGTATGAAGATTTCCGTCTTCTGGGTTGTTGCGCTGTGTAGTCTGGCGTTATTGATGTTGTAGCTATATGCTGACATTTAGTCCGCATCCCAATAATGCTTGTAAATGAGTCCCAGAACCATCAACAGTTATAAAATTGACAAGGTCTCATCAGTATTTAATATTTTAGTAATATTTGAAAAGTAATCTCCCAAGCTGGCAATCTAAATTCTGTTTGCAGTTTTCTTTCTGTTTGTTGATTAGTTATTAGTGTTGGTGCACTATGTTGACTTATTGAAATTTATGCCAGTGTTTGTAAGGATTAAAAATCTGCTGAGTGTAATGTTAATATTAACATTTGAATGAACTTTAAATTTCAGTTCTTGAAAATGTCAAATTACTGTTACTAAAAGTGTCTGGGTTGTAGAGCAATAGGAAGAAGAAGTTATTAAAAATGTATCAGAAGAATACACGACTATATCACCAGAATTGACTTCAGTTAAAGAATTGAAGTATCACTATTCATCATGGAATTAAAACAGTAGATTTGATAAAAAGATCACACATTCCCTTTCTTCAACTTCAAAAAACCCTTCTTCGTTTGCTTTTAACAATATTAGTTTCACAGAAACCAAGTTCCAGTGATGAAAGTATCAATGTAAATTGGTGCATTCTTCATCAGCTAAAATTAAGTTCTTTCAGTGAATTTCTTCTACATTAATACTAATATTTTGATTTATATTAACTTTCCTCCTTTATGTTACTGACTTGAAAAGGTGCAAATCTGTGTAATCCTATGACTGAATCATCACAATTAAAGATTCTGTTTCCTCATTTTCCACTGTCTTACTAGGACCATCATCATTAATAGACCTTAAAATTAATTTTATATATATATTGGTTCTTATTCTTGATGGATGTTTCAGGGAATTTGGTACCTGGTCCATTTTCCTCGAATGTGAATGTTTTTCATTCCTCTCGGTGGCAAGCGTAAGTATGAATAAAGACGAACATTCAAAAGGATGCAGTTGTTCTATAGAGACCGGTGTAGCCGCACAGTCGAGCCCTGAGTGCAGGCAGTAGTAATGCAGCCGCTGACAGATTTTCTAAGAAGTTTGAACATTCACATAAAAGGAGATACATCTTATCACCAGTTGAGATGGATTTATGTAATGTGATGCGCCTCAAGCCTGCTGATTTGGGTAGGTAGCGGTACAGCATTCTAGCTCCTATAATGCAAACTTAATATAAGTGGAAACAGTATAGACTGATTACCTATGGTTTTATCTATGAAAAACTCCTTTTTAAAATACAATCCAAATAGAATTTAACTTTTTTGAAACTATACTTAAGAGCTCAATTGCATGTACATTTTCTGATTTTATAATTGATTATTTTGAAGATTTAAATGCATTACCATTTTTAATTTTGGATAAATGAATACTTTCAGATGTTACCTTTTAACTAAATGCTTCATCATCTACATCAGTGGTCCCCAACCTTCTTGTGCCTACGGACACATTTGAGAGTTTATGAGATCGTGGCGGGCACCAACCAATTAACAAAGCCAAATTTTCTTTTCTCTGGACAAATAAGATATGGACACCAAATAATATACAAAACAACACGACATTTAATGATACAAGAAACCACGCAATCAAAAATACGTACTTTTATAAGTACAATTATTATTACTCAAGTGGGAAGTTAGTGTGATGTTTGGCACTGCATTTCATCGGCCAGTTTTTCAAATTTGGGAGTGTAGGATGATGTTGCTGCTCGCAAACAATCGTCAAGATCTGTGCTTTGATTTTATAATGTTCACGGCCTTCATTATTCAGTATAACCTCTTTCCGTATCAATGCGGGCATCCAAAAAAAGCCTTGGCATTAGGGACCACTGGTGTACATAATATGATGGCAGTTCAAAGCACAGTAATATTTTGAGACTGTGCAGCATATACATTGATTAGTTGATGATGATATAATTCAGATTCATTTTATGTAGTTTAGATTAGAATGTTTAGCATAACACTTTGTCACATGCATTAAACTACAAACAATTTTATGTTTAAGTAAAGCAAGAGCTTGTCTACATTTAAAAGCTTAGTGCTAACTTGTACTGTACCTGTCCAGTAGAGCCAGTTCTTCTCAAATTTTTCCCCATCATCTCCCTCAAAGACTTTATATACAGAAATAATGTAACCTGTGGTTGTGGAATGGCAACACTTTGAGCTTGGGTCAAGAGGTGGTCTTGCTATAGTCGCTACTTCGTTGAATATATCTAGGGTGTGAGCAGCTGTGTAGCGTAAGTTATGAGGGTCAAATTTACGCAGTGACGCTGCTTGAAGATTGTGGAAAAAATCCACTGGATCGGTCTGACTTCTATTGATGACATAATAGGAGATGAAAGGAAATTGTGCTGAAAATAAAAATGAGAATAAAAGATAAAATTTATCAAAATATAAAAGCAGAAAATATTATTAATCTCTGCAGAATATGAGTATTTTATACTTACTGTAAGATTTATTTTAATTAACTTGGCCTTTTGTATATGACACTATATTATACATATATTTAGTTATAAAATATCGATGTTTTAGAAATTATGATATGCTGAAGGAGGTATGGATATGAAATACATTCTTCCCTTTCTCTTTGAATAAAGTACTGAAACACAAAAGCTGGCCACTACATCAAATATTGCAGATTATAACGCATAGAACATTGTCTCAAATCCTTCGGAACATGGTGTTCGGACACAGAAAAACTTTATGTTTAACAACAGAATGCTGATCTTAAGTCGCAATATTTAAATTATGTAATCATTACCATTCTTTTCCATATTGGAGAGTAACATTCCTTCCACAGCTGTCTTTGCTGATTCCACTTCAGCGAGAAGATCACTTGCAGTAGTCTTTTGTTTGGCCAGAGGCTGGACCAAGGGCGATTCAAGAATTGGTTCGATTGACTCCATAGGAGTCATTAAGTGTAACAACACACACAATTTCGGGTCATCTACCTTCAGAACATTTAGGAAACTTGGACCCTTTTCTGCCAAAGGCAACTGTAAAAAGAAAATAAAAACATTTGATTCATCAAAACCTAATACCATAGTCACTTCGTTAATAACCCTAATTTTTGCAGTTTTTAAACTAAACAATCTTAGAGCAATGATGTAAATTTATCCTTATAATATGAAAGGGGTTTGATAAGAATTAAGCCTAGGGATAATAGAAGTTTAAATTATTTACTGGCAGTCTGTTTCTTTGCTAAAGAACACTATTTATTTTAGTTACATAAAACTTGTTGTACTCAAGTTATGTGTAACGAGAATGAGCATTTTTATTATTTTTATTTTCAACGCAGCCTTTAAGAAACGTACAATGTCTATTGAAGGCTGCAGCAAAAGCAAATAATGAGAACAACCAATAGTGAAGATAATCATGAAAATGATGTTTGACCAATTTGAGGGGTCATTTTTAGATATAATTCATCTTTATTACATTCCAAATATATATAACGATTGTATCAACATAAAAGAGAAGGGATCATGTAACGCATAGATAATTTTTTATTTCAGTGAAGTGACCGCAGGTCAAAGATGGACAACTATTTTAAGAGGATGCAACGACGTAGACAACTCTTTTAATTTGGGTGAACTTGCCAAATCAAGAGCCTCTTTAGCACGTTATAAATAAATACAAGAAGTTCTGGGATGGACTTACAACGACTACTGTCCTTAAAATCCTTCACACCATATCGTGAGGCTACCTACATTAATAATTTTACAATTAATGATCCAATTACATGTAAAATTTATAGTTGTGCTGATTCCCATTATATTATATTTGTCCGATATAACCTTAAAATTACCATGTTCATAATTGTAAACACAGAAAAGAATAGTCATACAGAATGGTTATTTATATCCATCACTTGTATTCAAACAACATTTCACACAAATCTAATTATCGCCATGAAACGGAAAAATGTTTATTTCGAGCAGAAACCTTGTATTAAATTTAAAAAAAATGTACGTTTATGCCTACAGAGGTCTATTCCCACATAAACATTCAAGATTTTCAACTCTGAAGATGGGTGACATTATGTTTATTTTCCAAAAAGTTGGTCAGAACTCAGAAAACAAATTATTTATATTCAGTGCCTTACACATGCGTAGCGCTAACGCCACTGCCACCTCACAAATTTAAACGGCCGCCATGTTGGTCTTGTTGATGGTAGAAAGTAAAAACCACAAAGGTGAGGTGGCGCTAGTGACATGTCGACATCAAGTTTAATAAAAATCCGTCAACTGAATCAAAAGTCATTAGGTGGGGAACACTTGGATATCATATTCCCTAGGGAGCGAATTTCCTTTCAAAAAAAATCAGACAAGAGTGGAAGAAATGATGCTAAATAAATTCCAAATGCTACACTACAAAAAGTAGGATAATTTGTTTATTTGTGGTTTATTTAACAACGTTGTTAGCAGATCAGACTATACAGCGTCGAATGATGGGATGATTTGTGAACTGGAAAGGTTAAGATTGCAAGCGGTCGTGGCCTAATTTAAGGCATTTGCGTGGAGATACTGAGGAAGTCGACAGAACACATCAGTCAGGATAACCGATCTCCGAGCTGAAATTTGAACCCGGAATCTCCCGAATACGAAGAATATGTGTTAAATAATAGATAGTAGCAAACATGAAGAGGGGAAAAAGTGGGACACCTAGAATTAGATTAAAGGACAATGTATTGTAGCGTGCAAGGATGTGAACTGAATTCATGTGACCAAGGATAAAGGCCAACACTGTAATAAACCTCCGGAATCCATAAATGATGAGGAAATTGTCGATTAGTTCTGCTTCTTCTCAAGAACTTTGTTCTACGTAAATACTCATAAAACAAAAATCATCCTACAGGCCAATAAATAAATAAATTGGCCAAGAAGTAAATATACAGTAAACTATCTATTTGAACATGACAGAAAACCAATCAGCAACAAGTTTGTCATATAAATTTAGCATTAGCGATGTTGAATCTAAGGTTTCTGCTACCATAATGCTGATTACTCATCAGTACAAAACGCTATTCTCCATGCCATCAGTACAGTGATCGGCTTTTTTATATTTCGGTATTATTTCACCGATGTACGTGTCAAGGACGCACAATCTCCTGACAACTACATTGAAGTCCACTGCTAAAGCTTGCGTCTAAAATTATTGCCAGGATTGAAAATATATTCACTGGGTCCACCTATAACACGGATTTGCAGCTTTACTTTTTAATAAAAAAGCTGTACGCGGCTTAACTGGGGGTTGTCATTAAAGCTGTTGGATTGAATGAACCGAGTGGAATTGGGTACTTTATTCTATATTTTTTTACTATGAAAATTCTAATATAGGTGTATCATGTTATATTCAGATACTGCAAAGCAGAAAAGTGCAATATGAATCGGAAGTAGGGAAAATTATGATAACGAGTACCATACGTCTCTTTTTTCAATAAAATTGAGTAAGATATTCAGCTGATTAAGAAACTCCCAGCTTTTTTTCTGACCCCAAAGATTATCCATGTCACAATGTTGTACAATTTTTATTTTACCTTGAAGCTCGCAATTTTGTGAAGGCTACTCCTATTATAATCTTGAAGCCAAAACAGGTCAATTATTTGTCTAACTTCGTGAACAGAAGAAGAGAAATAACTTTACGTTCTCAACATATAGATTAAAAACATTTGAAAGAAAAGTGTAATTCTTACTGCGTCACGCAATAACAAATTCCAAGTGCAGAATCATGAACTGTGCGTCGTACCTTCTGGTACGAGGTGTGTGAAGGCTTTCTGGCTTCTGACTCCAGCGCCTTGTATGTACTAATCGATCAACGAGAGACATAAAACAGACACACAGAAGTTCGTCCGCTACCTTTGCGGGTCAACATAGGGAACAGGCTAAATAGAATTCTGATCTCCAGTTTATGCACATATTCACTTGCCATCATGTGGCGTCAAGATTTTAAAAATGCGCCTAGCTTTTCTTCCACACCATCAATTCCTGCGATGATATCCAACTGGTGGTCCGCGACGTAATAATGCCGGCCAACGAATTTTATAGTAGCCGTCATCAAACTATGTTTCAAGGTCACAGCAAAATTTAAATGCGTATAAACTTGGGGTGGACAGAGTAGAATCGAATGTGTAAAGTTTTCAAAAGTTAAACGGGGAATAAGCACAAAGAAGTTATGATACCATAAATCATAGAACGAGAAGGTTTGGTCATTTTCCGGTTGTATAAATCAAATATTAGATCAGTATGTCAATATGTCGAGTGGTAGTTCAAGTTGATATTGATCGTCATAGAAGACTCTGAATAATACACTCAAAAGTTACGCCACGAAGAAATGTCAGAAGAAATTCACGAGACCAAATTTTTCAGTAAACATACATTTGGTCTTATGATAATAATGAACAGAGTGGGAAATCTAGTATTGTAACATGTAATAACACAGATTAGACTAATTATTACTTACAGATGAAATAAATGGTGTAAAAATTCTCTGCTACTCTTAAGAAAGTGCCAAAAATATGAAAGAAAATATAACTCGAAATCTGAAAACCAAGAATGGGTAGTTTATGTAAACTCATGTTTGATAATACAGTGTTTTCAAATGCGTCACTTGATGTTCATATATTGAAAATGTAAATTCTTTCTTGACAAATTAACCGATAAGCAGACATATTGCACAGAATAGAATGTCCATATTATATTTTATTGTATTTATAATACACAAAAGCTTTTAAACCGAACTGAAGACATGATTATTAACGGGATACACATTCATAATTTATCAGTGTTTCTAAGAAACTAATATTTTTTAATTATGCAAGGTTAATTTGAGTGCAGAGTAAGGTATAATTTTAGTGGACAGCTGCAGATAAAAATGAAATTCGCTCCTTTTTCCAGGTAGAGTAACCCCTTCCCACACAAATCAAAATTAAATCTGTTACGAGATTTAGAATATGGAACATACGAATGAACGGACAGATAGAACATGGGCGTAATGCGTTCTCTTTACGCACTAGAAACAAGGAACTCACAAAATATATTACAAACGCATGTTAAAATATGCACGGTGTCCGCTGACCCAAAATGTGTTTGTAATTAAGAGAGATTATCTCACTTAAGGACGTTGTTTATAAATTAAATGGTAAGATAGTAGAAGAATATGTAATGAAGAGAATCGATCATAGATTAATCGGAATGGACTAAGGAAAACCGCGAGAAGTCTGAATTATAACAGACGGGAAGAATTAAGAAGAAAGCGGTCACGGTATTTTTCACCCTTTGAACCAGGACGCTGATCTAAATAATACTTGAAAATTCTGCTACCATCTCAAAGAAAACTCAACACTCCTCCATTACAAGAATAAACTGATTAATGTTGTTTATGGAAAAATAACTTCAAACAGGCCTAAATATTTTTGGTTTTGTGAAAATTTGTGTGATAAGCCGTTTGTGAGGAAATCGATAAAGTTTGATATGTTTGTTATGATTGGTCGATAGGAATCAGAATAAATAAAATTCATTCAATCACTTTTATTACAGATCTCCCAATACCAAACTGAATTAAATCTGATTAATAGTTTCCACGATAAACTATACGGACACAGGGGACAAAATTACTCGTTATTTTTACATAAACGCACCATAAACGCAGAAAAGCCCAGCGTAGAGGTGTTCATATAATAAAGTAATTTGTAGTTTGGACAAAATTTACACTTGACTTTTTTATATCATTACGCACTGGCAACAATAAAGCCCGGTGTATTTCTTTAGCTTTTACGAAGTTGTCTCTTGAGACCAGTCCTTTAGCGACGCAATACAATAGCGTAGAAACACATTCGGCCTGGTGTATCTTATTTGGTCCATCGAGGATGCCAAGTTTCATCCCCCGCATTTCTTACTAGCAGTCATGCGTAAAAACTTTGTGATAGTGTCATTTACTGATACATGTGTTATATAAACAAACAAACAAACAAACAAACATGCAAGGATGCACACTGACCATGCAACTAACTCACCGGAACTCCTGCAGGAAGAAACCTATCCAGACTAGCCACAGGGATGATGAAGCAATCCTTGTTGAGCGTAGCTAGGGTAATAGGTTCGTGATGGACCACAGATGGCGATGTGACGGGGCCCTGGAGGGGCCCGCTACTGAAGCTCACTTGTCTGCTTCCAGTTGGCGTTTCAGGAACCGTAAGAGAAGTATTGTCTGTCCGACCACTTTGTTTCCGCCTGTTTCCACCACCACCACCACCTCCGCCCACAGACCACTTCATGAGTGTGACGGACGGCCTGCGTTGGGTCATGGGTTCAGACTCCGTGTATCCCTGGCAACCACTGCCTGTAGGACTTAGGAAGATGTGGGTACGATAGTGATGCTCCTCCATTACAGTATAACCCGATTCCCGACTTCGTTTTCCATGCATTCCCTTCCCCACTTTCCCGCCAACTTTTCCGTAACTTCTTTCAGGTTCTCCATGGAAATGTTTACGGAATAAAATATTCATCGCCGAAGTAAAAATAAAGACGACTTGTAATTTTCCTAAGCCAATCTATTCAAGTAGTGACTAAAGCGTGATTGCCGCTTGGAGCGGCCGGCCAGCGGTTCGGTGTGCCTACGAACGTACCAAAGACAAGACGGGGACTGACGAGTCCAACACTCACGCTGCTATTTTCAGAGCCTCCTCTCCCCTCCGACGGCCACTAAAAAGCGAGCCAACCTGCAACTGACCTCAACACTCACGTGTACCATTGTCAACTGGTTCAATACCTCTGCGTGCACCGAGGTACAAAGATTGTTCCAGTATTAATTTCTATCAGAATGACGAATCAAGGAGAAATATGACACTAAAATTAATATGTTCAATTATTTTACATGTTTCGTGTCAGTATTTGATAAATATTTTGACACAGTGGTAGAAGATCCCCAAGATTCAGCAGCGTTAACGCAATCCTACCCCTGCATCCTCGCAGGCAACATCTGTAAGACGCAGTTTAATGTCATCGCCTCATCCCCTTCTTTTTTTGACATGACGATGTTTTCGGAGAGCATTATTTGTATCTCCGTCCTACCACATGACCAGACCATCGTAACCTCCAAGATTTCGCTGTCCTACTATAATTAGGTGACCTTTATTCACAACAAATTTAGCCTACTAGTTGTGTGACATCCTAAATTACCATTTACAATGGAACAGCATAAATTAGGCTACTCTAAAATATCCATAATATTAAAGGCAGATCCCTGAGATTTCAGCTTTATTCTACTGACACATATTCAAACATATAAACCTATATTAAATAATTACACAATGTTGTTTATAGACGCTGTAAAACAAAGTAAATAATGTTGTAGTAAACAGAAGCCAGGATTTAAAACGAGAAGCTGAGAATAGGGAAAACTGGCGAACTCTTTTTGGGCAGAGCAATGGACCTGTCGTCAGACAGAACACTAAATAATAATAATAATAATAAACAGAAGCAGTTCTTGGAGATGATTCTGAGTCATTTTCATGCGCCTCCGACCGTCATATTTATCTTAAGATCCATTTTTATTTTATCCACTCACCTCAGTATTTAAAGTGCGAATTTCCCATGTCTGCTCTAACAGAATTTTGTGGGTATTATAGATATCTCGTCTCTTCGCATGCGATATGGCTACATATTAAGAGCATAAATTGTCGTGTAAATGTGAAAAAGAGAAATTCGTCGGAAAGAGGCCTGTTAAGTCACTTCTGTCTCCCGTTTTATAGTGACTGGAGCCCATTCTCTGTTGTGGCAAGTCTTCCTTCGCAACTGAAATGCGACTACTATTAACTTAGCCGTTTACGTCTGTCCGCTTGTAAGAACTGGAAAACTGCTGGTGGGATTTTCATTTGAATTTATACTGTGGAGTTACTACAATTCGTAGAAATATTTAAATTTTGGATTAAATCGGACAATAATAAGGACCGTTAATATGGCAATTATAATAAACTTTAATATAATCACCATATAATTTTATTCTGGTATCCGAAACAAGCCACTACTGGCATTTGGCTTAATTTACACTTATTACAATTACTATTGCATTATATATTTACTACAAATTACAAATTTATTTTTTTACAAACACAGAGCTTTCTCATTTCCTTTTAGCGACTTACTAATTTGTTAAGCATTAGTATATTGTTAATAAACATGTTAAAACGTGCTAGTAATTACCGCATTTCTAGACAGTGCTCTGAAGATTTACGCGTAGACGGGAAGATAATATGAAAACGGATCTTAAGAAAATAGGGTGCAGTGGTATGAACTAGACTCAACCGACTCAGAATAGGGCCCAGTGTCGGGATCTTGTGATTACGGTAATGAACTTTCGGGTCCCAGAAATCCAAGGAATTTCTTGACTAGCTGAACGTACTATCAGCTTCTCAAGAGGGATTCCGTTCCATGGAGTTATTTTTTTAAATTATTTACGAGGCTTAAAGGGAAGATACGTTGCTATTTTGCTGGTCTGTCAATCAGAAATGACTGCGAACAAATGTTATAAACGAGGCTTACTGTACAGTTTAAGAAGCCGTAGGCACCCGAAAGTGATTTGATACTGGAGAATCCGTAAAATGGTTTTAGTGACGACAGTAGATTTCAACTGAACGCCATTTTATTCAGTAGATCTTTTATGGTGATATGTTGAATCATTTTGTCCTGTAGATATCACAGGATACAGTTACCAGTTGAAGTTGTAACTGTACTTATGTCTGCTTCGATCCAAATATGTGTGATGTAGCTAAGTAATGTCAACAACCCTTGTGTGGAAAACATCCCACAGCTGCTTACGTTTATTTTCATATCTTATTCTTCTGTGTTAGGCCTATGAACACTAGTAATGGCCTACCTGTGGGCAGTGAGTCAGGATGGCGTCCGATCTATTAGAAAGCAAACTTGCACATCACATCTACTAACACACACACACAAACAACACATATAGAACATTACAAGGGCACGATATATTTATTACATGCCCAGTAGTTGAATTATACTATTCTTGAAAGGAATATGGTTGTAGTGGTGGAGGTTTCAGATTGTGGTGTAATTCGTATACGTGATATTTATTGAATTCTATTTATTTTTATTAGGTTATGACGATACGTAATGTTATATTTACTATATTAAACTTTAAAGCCAGTTACGTGTAAACACACAGTGTTTCTATCGCCAAAGGCACGGTTTAATAGTCCCTTCGTTTATTTGGTCTAGAAAAAGGGTATTTTCTATCTACTCGTGGCTTATTTAGCAGGAACTTTTAATTCCATCTAAAGGCTAACATATAGAATAGGTTATGTAGACGTTTGATACCTGCAAACAGATTCTCTTATGTTTTTCTTATGCATTTTTACAGAAACACGTAATGACAATTTTTACAATTATTTTTTTCCGTAACTTTTTCAAAATTGGCTTATACACTTAAACCGCACATAAAAGTTTAAACTATTTCCAATTTCTGACTTAAATTTCAGGAATACAAACAACTACATGGAGCAGTCCTCCTTAAGAATATAACAGTAGTTCACCACAAGAAATTTCCCGTCATTGAAGGATTCATAAGGATAATTACCGTGTTCAGATCAGCCTACCCGCGTAATTTTAATTTAGTCCATACCAAAATTCTTAAGATTTTTCTTAATTTTATCCTCCCATCTACGTCTAGTCTTCCACATGGCCTTTTTCTATTCAGGTACCCAGAACAACAAATTTTGTAAACATTTCTCATTTCTGTTATGTTGATTTACATAGATCGCTTTGTGACATTTCAAAACTCTTAGTTACTTCATTGTTCCAGGTAGTGTTAACCTCACGTGAACCCCGAAACTGAAGGTTCATCGTTTTTCTGCTGTCCGCTGACTGTTCAATATATTCACAGCCCCCTTACGTTTATTTTCATATCTTATTCTTCTGTGTTAGGCCTATGAACACTAGTAATGGCCTACCTGTGGGCAGTGAGTCAGGATGGCGTCCGATCTATTAGAAAGCAAACTTGCACATCACATCTACTAACACACACACACAAACAACACATATAGAACATTACAAGGGCACGATATATTTATTACATGCCCAGTAGTTGAATTATACTATTCTTGAAAGGAATATGGTTGTAGTGGTGGAGGTTTCAGATTGTGGTGTAATTCGTATACGTGATATTTATTGAATTCTATTTATTTTTATTAGGTTATGACGATACGTAATGTTATATTTACTATATTAAACTTTAAAGCCAGTTACGTGTAAACACACAGTGTTTCTATCGCCAAAGGCACGGTTTAATAGTCCCTTCGTTTATTTGGTCTAGAAAAAGGGTATTTTCTATCTACTCGTGGCTTATTTAGCAGGAACTTTTAATTCCATCTAAAGGCTAACATATAGAATAGGTTATGTAGACGTTTGATACCTGCAAACAGATTCTCTTATGTTTTTCTTATGCATTTTTACAGAAACACGTAATGACAATTTTTACAATTATTTTTTTCCGTAACTTTTTCAAAATTGGCTTATACACTTAAACCGCACATAAAAGTTTAAACTATTTCCAATTTCTGACTTAAATTTCAGGAATACAAACAACTACATGGAGCAGTCCTCCTTAAGAATATAACAGTAGTTCACCACAAGAAATTTCCCGTCATTGAAGGATTCATAAGGATAATTACCGTGTTCAGATCAGCCTACCCGCGTAATTTTAATTTAGTCCATACCAAAATTCTTAAGATTTTTCTTAATTTTATCCTCCCATCTACGTCTAGTCTTCCACATGGCCTTTTTCTATTCAGGTACCCAGAACAACAAATTTTGTAAACATTTCTCATTTCTGTTATGTTGATTTACATAGATCGCTTTGTGACATTTCAAAACTCTTAGTTACTTCATTGTTCCAGGTAGTGTTAACCTCACGTGAACCCCGAAACTGAAGGTTCATCGTTTTTCTGCTGTCCGCTGACTGTTCAATATATTCACAGCCC